TCATTGCTCGGATATTTCTGATTCCATACATTTCAGATAATTTGCGAATTTCAAGTACTTCTTCGTAAAATAATAAAAGTCTTCAGAAATTCAATCAGAATGGTATGGTTTGCAGTAGAGGAAGATGAAACTTTGGAAATGTTCTTCAAAACAAGTCACTTGCCAAACTGTTTTTCGTTCGACATTGAAACGTCACTTAGGAAAAGTACCACCATTAACGACTCGTGAATATGCGGACTCAATGTTTGTTTGCTCAGGTAATCCTGCCGTGTTTCGTTTTCTTGGGCACATCGATCGTTCCCTGCTCAATTATTGGAGGATTTTCAATAACCGCGAACATTCCTTGAGTTTTGGTTCATATTTGTTAGACAAGAAATGCAAACTATTTCCTATTTTGGCAAAATAAATGTGACGAAAATTTCCAAAACGGCGGCTATGTCACGTGATACTGATTCATTTTTAATGAAAATGTATTAATATCTCATTAGAGCAGAGAAAAAGTTCCCAAACAAGGTCGATTATAGTCTACCTATTCCTCAATCGACGATTGACTGTATCGCACAATCTTCAAACTGATGCTCTCCTGAAAAAGTAGAAAATATCATTCACGTCCTCCGCTAACGGTACCGACGATATGAGAAGTTTATTTTTCAGAATAGACAATTTCCCAGAGATGCTATCGATGTTCTGATTTTGAATTCGCATTGATACTATCTGGCCCCTGATTTCATTTTCTAGAAATTTGACGAGCAGTGTATATCATTGATGATTATTCTATTTGGTAATCAATTTTATTGCTGAATCCAGATTCCTACCCCCATAATCACGGATTGTACAGAGAGGTACTTCCATCAGAATTGAGACACACTCTATACATATACATACATACAGGGCTTTTTCATTGAGAGAGGGATATACGTCAACGTTTGATAGAAGTCACCAAGGAAGTTGTGAGTATTCTATAAATGCCACTCTTGATAGCATAATTGGTATAATATAGAGTGATCAATCGACTACCTTCATTCCATTTAAGTGGCAGAACTAAGAAATCACCTAGTATATTCGTTCGATATTTTGTGCACATGTTTTCCAACCACAATCTGAACGACAAACAAACCAGTCTGGAGAAATCCAGGTCTGAATTTGGAAAAATTGGACAGCTCATTGTGTTGAAAACAACACCCTGTATTATCCAATTTTTCAAATTCACTTTTAGATTCGTCGAATGCAAAAAATCAAGCACTGTTTCTCCGATTTCCTAGGATACAAATATAATACCTAGATTTTGAAGTCGAATGAAGTCAACCACAGTGGTGATACCATCAGCATGGTCAATGTTTGACTCAACTTCCTCCAAAAGTTAACGTGGTAACTTTGTGGGCAGGTTTGAAACGTGATCGACATCACTAAACAGCTGGTTGGTCAGACTGATGGTCAGACTTCAAACTAAACGTATGTGTCCGGTCGAACCATAAACTTGACACAGCCTTACTCTTGTTTTTCCCTGTATACTAATCAAGTCATCAGCATTTTCCAAGCATTAAGATTCATGCTATCACTCCGGAACATAAATTCACAATTTGGTCGAGATTTCACCAGAATCGGACGAGAATTGGAAACAATTTTTTGCTGGCCGATTTTGTTAACCCAGTTTGGGATATTTCCTACATATGGCAGCTCTTTGAAGAGCCATAAAATGAAAATATTGCTTTGCAGCTGGGGGTTTTAGTGTTTTCGTCTATTGATTGATAATCACTGAATTCTGGAATTATTCTTTTCTAGCGTTGCCCAGCTTCAAGTGAACCGCTCGATGGTGATGACAGTCAGAACTATGTTCGTCGTCAAAGTGCCCACTTTAGAGGTGGTCCTGCGGCAAAGTCCCTTCACAGCAACGAAGCGAGGCCAGGACTGTTCCTGATAACTCATTAGCAGGGAAGCAGGAGAGAACGACTTCTGATTCAGATGCATGCGGCGGCTGACCACCTTGCCATCTGCTCCAAATGCTTTCAGAGGTTGGGTTTCGTACGAAATGAAAGAAGTTGATATCTACTATCTAGTCACAAAAAAGAGTACAATATAATTCAAGTTTTATGAAACACTATATTGGCGTACGCGAGTGGTGTTTAGAACAATAACTCGTTGAGCAGAGTGATCATTTTTTTTTTATGTATGATAAATTGATATTCATCATACAGGACGTGGACAGAAATTCTTAATTGAGAAAACCTGATCACGAATCGGCGATTGAGGTCTATAAAAATAACAAGTTTCCATCGTTCAAGTTTGAACCCCTTGATTGGGTGAAAGTATTGAAAAGGAATATTCGCAGATATCTTCATGAACACAAAAAAATCGATGTATTCTATTCGATTTGAGAGATAATGTCAATTCTCAATTTCAGAGGATTTTGATTTTTCATGCTCTATTTCTGGATATTCAACAGATATAATTCAATGTTCGACTTGGCAAATAGCCAGGAAAGTAGTTGTTTTCTGTTGAATATTCAGAATGATATTATGTGTATATCTTTATATGGAGGAGAATGCAAATTCTCTACTTCAGAAGATCTTGTTTTCAAATTCTTATCGTGTGAGTTCGATAGATTCAATTCATTGCTCGTCGTGGCATATAGCCAGGAAAGAAGTTGTTTTAAGTTGATTAAAAACGGTAACGGAAAGTAGAAATGAACAACAAAAATACAAAACAAATTTAAAAAAATAACCGTTAGAAACGAACTATATTAGAAATATATAAAACATTGAATTTGATCTGAATCAGATGAAGTATTGCTTTATTTGGTTCAAACATATCAGTAGTACCTATATATATGAGAATTTATACTTATTTCATAAAATAAATTCAAACAGAGCGTGACGAAATATCATCCAATTCATGAGTATTTGTGATTAAATAATAATATAGGTAATCATAATAACGAATGTGTGTCGAAATATGTTTCAGTAGTTTATGAAATGTTTCATTAGATCAGTAAATCAATATGCAAATTAGGAGATCCACTAAAGATTCAGTAAAACTAACAACCCTGCAGCGGACGAAAAGTGTCGGGGGTGCTTCCATAAAAAATGCGACAAAATTTCATTTTCCGAACGGAAAATTTTCCAGGAAAAATTTGAATAGTTAGGAAATTGGGCGTCCTGATTCCAAATCTGAGGTGATTTTCTACCTATTTCGACTCCTAATATCATTTTCCGGAAATTGGGGTAGTTTCATGGCTGTTGGCGAGCAGTGTATATCACTGAAGATGACCCCACTTGGTCATAGAGTGCATTTTTGGTATATCTCTCGCTCCAGCAAATTTCAGGATCCTTACCCAACGAATACGTAAGATACAGGGGTGGTTCCATTAGAAGTGGGTCACACTGTATATTGGAACAACATCAAATAATAAAATTTTCACGGAGAAAAAAATCACTAACTCCAGGTGAATATTTGATAGTGACAAGTGAAAACTTGTATAATATTTGGGTCAAGGAAACAAGTTAATAACAAGAATATTCGTGTTCCTGGAAATGTACACCTACCACTATTAAGCTGTACCATTGGATTTAAGATTAATTTTTGTCAGTGAACACAGCACTTGTCATTAGCGACGTATTCACTTGTCATTGGTCACTTATACATTTGCAATTAGTGACTCATTCACTTGTTATTAGTGACTTGTTCACTTGTCATCAGTGACCTAATCATATGTCACTAGTGTCCTAATCACATGTCATTAGTGACTTATTTACTCGTCATCAGTGACTTATTCACTTGTCATTAGTGACTAATTCACCTGTCATTAGCTAGGTAGGTACTATACAAATTACATATAATGTTCTCTGAAAAATGGTAACCTTGGCAAAAAGACAGAACTCGTGCATTCAAAGAATTCATTATTTAGGTATGATGAATCAGGAGATCACAAAAAGCTAAGGCTGACGACAAATATTGAGGCACTAGATACCAGGTGTATCAGGATCATGGGCCGAGAAAAACGGTCCATCAAATGCACTCGCACACTTTTTTTTCCACAGTGATGTAGCAGAAAAAGTGGAATTGAAATCAACTTTCATACTCATTAAACTTCACTTTCTCCCACCTCGAGTATAATCAGAAGTGGAATATAGAATCCTGGTTAATAACAACAAGTGACCAATTATGATTTCCACATCTCCGTGCTGAGAACGCACTTCATGAAAAACTTAGACAGTGTCATTTTTTGTACTTGCTCGGTGCTGAAGCATTCTGTGAATCGGTTTGTAGAGAACGCTTAATTAAGTTAGCATATTCGATGCTTTGGCAGGGATTCCATTAATATTTTTTGACTTCTATTTTGTCACACCTAAACCTTACGAAGAAGTATTTTCAATTAACAAGTGCTCCTAAGTGAGGTCAGAGTATTCAAATACATGAAACATTTTCCTATCAATTAAACCTAGAGGTGACCGCCGCAGTAAGTTGTTTTGTCAATTTTTTTTCCTATTTTCTACCCCTGCTAAAGATAGCGATAGTTTCGACATTGAACCTCTGACTCTGACTCTAACTCTCATGATACATGCATTCTATGATCACATTATTGTAGGATATTCAATAGGTAATATACAGGCGGATATAATTTGTCTTTATGAAATATTCACCATTAATAATGATTTGTTTTGGATATAATAATAAAAACACCAGTTTCGAAGGAATAATAATCACATTCACTTTGAAGATGAATATATAATATCACATAATTTTTTCTTGAAGTCATATAGTTTATACTGGCATACAGGTACCTTCTCGATTGATCTTCGACTGAATCACGTTAAGTCACACGAAGTGAACATAATAAAGCTCTCATTCATAAATTGATATTTAACTTGATTGTCATGTATCTCACGATTTCGTAGGATATAGTATGTGTATGGAAACTTCTTGTTTTAAAATGAGGCAGTTCTATCGATTGGCGAAGGCTATTGGAACCTTCGACACCATGTTATATATACATAAAAAAGTTACAGGTTACTTATAGGCTCTGGCCACTCAGTTAGTTTTCTTGCTAAGATAGGAGTAGAATCACTCAAGTGATTTTCATGGGACAATAAAATATTTCTATCTTCTCTAAGCATTTTTCTGCTTCCGCAACTTCTTGTTCTCATTCTACCATTCGAGGATATTCCTACGCTGTTTTGTCTCTGAAAAACCCTAAGAGGTGTACATGAACGATCATCTAGTAGAATGGTTTCAGCTTTGGCTCTGCCCTTGAATTGACATACGCAACCTAACACCAGTCCTGTAAAATTAATGATAGTTATAATTTCATTCATCAATTCGTCACAAGCATTAACATAAATACATTCCTAATTATCGATGTTTCATTTTTCAATACTCAAGGGACATAACTTCATACATACCTATATTGATTCCACAAATGAGTGTGAACAACAACACCAAACTAGGAGATAAATCTATAATTTTCATCAAATGTTCATCAACTATACTCCTCGTTGGTTTCGTGGTTTCATTCCCCTTACAAACAATTTCATCAACTATTCTGGTAATCTCTTCTTCATCATATATCCAAGAATTTTTCTTCAATGGTATTTCTGATGGCTCATCTATCCTCATTCTTTGGAACTTCACATTGTTATCGGAGAAATTCAGGTGGCTTCCACATGAATCTTCATAATGAATACCCTTGTCAGATGTATGATTCCTCAACTTGGCCATCACTTTATCTTCACATTTGAATGGGTTGTTCTTCGCCAATAGGAAGTGCAAATTCTTGAGAGAGTGTATGACGTCAACATGCAGTGTCATCAGCATATTGTCAGACACATCCAAAAACTCGAGGCTATGGAGATGTTCAAATATATGAGCACCATGACGTAAGTGTTCAATGCGACAAAGGCTTATATCCAGAACCTGAAAATGAAACGTATGTCACAAAATGAAAAATAGCTAATTTTCAACCAACTTCATCAAATGATATAAACTGGGCGTCAATTGAAATGTTAATAATAAAATTTGGCATCAAATTTGACTTCTCGTAATTTCTAAAATATTGAACGAATTTTGAATTGCCGCCCAGATTCTGAATGCCTTTTTCATCGTCTTTCGAACCGTTCCTTACAGCTTCTTCTAAATTGATCAGGACCCATGATACAGGGTGAAACAAAGTTTCGTGCATTTTGAAAAAAAATTCTCCGTCCCCCCCCCCCATTTTGTCGGAAGACCACGATGCTCATATTTTATTCAGGCATTTCATGAATAGCAACCATACCTCGGGACGTTTTCGAGTTTTTGCCGAAAACTACTGTGGTTTCCGAAAAAAAATTTTTTTTTGCATTTTTTTAAATGGACTAATCATCTGTATCCTCAAAACGATGAATTAGTCTATTTATTGTCTGACTGACTTATTGAAAATGGTACTTAAATGAATTTGGGTATATGCTAATCGTCGTATAACCTGAAATAACAATTATCTGTACTGAATTATCGTTTATATCACTATAGTGATCTTACCTAATGATATTTTCCATTTTGACCCGATTTGAACGAGGCTACATCTTTGAATTTTTAAGGACTCGAATTACACTTCTATGCATACCTACATTGTTTCAACAATACGTTGTTATAGAAACAAGGTATCGTTGTTTGTTTTTGTTGATGAGATGTGTTGATTTACTGCTCACTAAGGTAGTGAACCTTCATCATAGACTGCGAAGTAATAAATTATTTTTGGGTGTATGATAAATTGACATTCATCATACAGGGCGTGGAAAGAAATTCTGAATTGAGACTCTATCACGAATCTGCGATTAGAGGTCTATAAAAAACACAAGTTTCCATCGTTCAAGTTTGAACCCCCTGATTGGGTATGAAAGTGTTGAAAAGGAATATTTTCAGATAAATTATGAACATACAAAAATGGAGAAAGAGTAAATATTCTCATCACATAGAGAATGCAAATTCTCAATGTATTGCTTTATATGAATATATATCCATTTTTGTATGTTTATAATTTATCTGAGAATATTCCTTTTCAACACTAATAAATTATTGATTGTTTTTGAGTAACCTGGTATACATATCTGCTCCAACGCTTTCCTGAAATGCATGAAAGTATCCATTTTTGGAACTCTTCCAAAAAATGCAAAAAACATTTTTTTTTTCGGAAACCACAGTAGTTTTTGGCAAAAACTCGAAAACGTCCCGAGGTAGCATCGTGATCTTCCGACAAAATGGAGGGGCGGAGAATTTTTTTTCAAAATGCACGAAACTTTGTTTCGCCCTGTATCACGGGTCCTGGTCAATTTAGAAGAAGCTGTCTGCTGTAAGGAACGGTTCGAAGGACGATGAAAAAGGCATTCAGAATCTGGGCGGCAATTCAAAATTCGTTCAATATTTTAGAAATAACGAGAAGTCAAACTTGATGCCAAATTTCACTATTAACGTTTCAATTGACGACCAGTTTACATAATATACAGGATTCCATATAAGAATTCGACTCAAATGTTGCCACTGACTTAGATATAAGTTACTTATACTTGTAATGATATTCTTCACTACCAAGGTGTATATTGAATTCTTTTCAACACTAGCAACATATTTCAATCATTATTGTCGCTAATATGAAAGCATTTCCTTTCAATTGTAATCAAAATCTAGTAGTCATGACCATGACAGCATATTATGACAAGTATAGTTATTGATAAATACCCACTAGAATCGAGTGCCATTCCTGCGAATCTCGCATCAGAACTGTCGAGTCGTGATAATTATAACAGAGGTGGCTTTATTAACTAGTGATTCATAAAATGATAAAAGCTACCTTGACAGTGAAAACACATGTTACGCCTTGAAAACGGGTAAATAATGATAGGTTCTGTAGCTAGTGGTAGAAAAATAGATATACGTGTCAGTGACAATTTCGGCTTGAATAATTCTTGATAATTGTACTCTGGAACCATGATGGAAAGATGGAATGTTATTGGTTCGATTCAATCAAAACTCTTTTTATTTTGCGAAAGATAGCAATATAATTCAACAAGAATATTATTGATATTGGAACTCCATATGAGACAATATAGTGATTGAGTTTGATCTGCTAGTTTACATGTCATCAAACTCACACTCCAACTATGGGTGTTTGATCAGGGCCTACTTAGAGTAGGCCCTGGTTTGATGCCCTATGCTGCGCGTCGGACATCAAACTTCAAATATACTTACTATGTTCTTCCAGCGACACAAGATTCGTCCATTTCAATACCAAAATTAGCTCTTGAATTGACGTTTCTATTAATGACACAAACTGCTAGGCAACACTTTTAGTTAGTTTAACTTTAGCTCCTAGGAACTAGGAGGGTTGTTCTAGGTCATCAAGAATAACAGTAGATTGTTTTATTGAGATCAAAAGTGGCACTTTGTTCAACAATCGAATTTTGCATTTGCAAGCAAAATTTGCGAGTCAAACAAAGTCACTTTTGATCCGAATGAAACATGCCATTTTTTCTGCAACCGAAACAATTAACTCAAATGAATATGTGAAGTAACCACCAATGCCGTGCCATATGCATGCAATGCAACAAATCAAAATCAATGCGAAATCCGTGTGAGAATATTCTACATGCATTAACAGAGTGACATATTCGTGTCTGGACCAGGTGCTCTAATGGCAATACCGCGCCAGTGCCAGGTATCGGAACAAGACGTGGAAAATGTTAGGTTAGTGAGCATATCAACAATAATTAGTAATAGCGATTATTTATTCCTCTCCATACTACACTGTGTTCAACTTGAAAATCATATATCATGTATCAATATCGTTGTTTGAAACAAAAAACTATTGCTTGCCGTGATTATTCAAAAACAAGTTATCCATCTCGAGAATAACGAAGGAAATACGGATCGAGCAAGTATGTGAATCTTGAAGGCTTTTCTGATGAAAACGAAAATACTTAACTGATATGTTTATAATCCCTATACTTAACTATAATAAGGTGTATTTATATCTTCAGCATGGGTATGAAATGCCAAATCTGCCGAAATTGAAAGCAAATCAGGTATGCGTCCCAACCCAAATAACCATGTTGTTTATTCGTGACGTCTAGTACATCCTTTTTAGTTCCAAGGAGCTTGTAATGAAGTGTTTTTGACCAGCTTCATTACTAGACTGGTTTTGATCAAAATCTAAGTACCTGAGCCTGATTCTAGTTGAATTTCACCTGTTCGAAAGCTCGAAACCTGAAAACCTGAGAGAGCTGAGTAATGCATTGATTCCTGACTTCCCACAGCTTTTCCTGATAGTAAAAGCTGATGAACATCATTACAACCCTAAAGACTTCAATATTTTTCAACCCTTTGCTTATGATATGAAATTTGATTGAATTATTTATCAGTTGAAATGATGAATGTTTAAATGCTCATAACTTTGTTGTTATTGAATATTTTCCAGCCAAATTCATTCAGTAGCATAAGCAAAGGTAGTAGATCCTGTTCCTGTGCCCATTTAGGGTGTAATATTATTTTTTCCGCGTTTTGTGTTGGAGGTGCACATGTGTTTTTCAAGGACAGATTTAGTGGCCATGGCCATGAGCCATGACAAGGTGGGAGTTTTGACCAATGAGGTTCCAGATTTACTTGTCCTTGTGCCAAGGCCAAAGCAGTGCATAAATACTGAAGACAGCCAAGGATTCGGCTCTCTCTCTAGGCTCTTGTCTACAAGTCTACACTACCTGATCCCGGTTGCTCTTCAAGCTCCTGATTCTCAAGCTGATCATTTAGTGCTCTCATAGTTCATTCAAAACCAGTGTAAAATAGTATTGTATAGTGATTCCTGTTACACATGTAAGTTTGTATATTTTTCACCAGTGTTATTCATCCTGTTTATAGCCTCATTTCATTCCTGTTGTTTTTCACACCGATACTCACCCGACCTGTGTAAAGAATCCAGAACTCTAAATTGAATAAACGGATTTTGTGATTGCATATTTCATATTTCCTTCTCTGTTGTCATTGTTTTCAGTTCCAAATAGTTCAATAATTTATTTAGTGATTTTCAATATTTTCATTTGTCAAAATTGCAGAATATTATTATTGACTGACGACTGACACTGACAAGCCAGTTAACAACTCTTCTTCTTCTTTTCCTTGAGAAATCCAGTCCTGTGCACCGGTGTCTCTGTGCTTTGTATCCCGTCAGGCGGTGTTCTATGTTTCAGAACTATTGACATTAATGGAAAAATATAATAAATTAACCTCACTAAAAATCCGATATTAGGAAATTAGAAAAATCGAAGGAAAAGAAAAGATAAATAGAAATTGAATCTGTTTAATTCGTTTAGAACTGTGTTTCCGATTCTCCAGATAGAAATGATGAAATAGTTGAGTAAATAATTTTCCAGGCATAACCTTAAAATACCAAAGACCTGAGAGATAATTTGCTTTGATTCCTGTAATTATCCAGACCAGAAATAGCAACCAGTATTCCAGGCTAGACCCAGGGTTTGTAATTAAAGCCTACACTCCCTTGGCTACTTATTGATTCCAGGTCGATTCAATACCATTGACCCCTGGATTATACTGTGGGTACCGAGGTAGGTATACCTCCTGTACCTTTCTCCACTGTTGCTACTGTGGGCCTCCTTCCCGACTAAGTTGGGAGGAGCAGGTGAAGTAAATCACCTTTACCAAAAATCTGGCGCTCGAGAACCCCCCCTGTCAAATGCCAGAGTAGTCTCCTGTCCTGAACAGAGCGTCAAAATAAGGGCCCCAGAATAAAGACCCTTACAAGCTGAAGTTCAACTTTAGCTCCCAGGAACTAAACTTCAACTTTAGCTCCTAGGAACCAAAGTTCAACTTTAGCTCCCAGGAACTAAATATGTTGCCTAGCAACATACCTATTTTTGGGTCAGTAATAGGAACGTCAATTCAAGGGCTAATTTTGGTATTAAAATGGACGACTTTTGTGTCGGTTGCAAAAAAACAACATTGGTACGGTTGGTTATTCGGGTTGGGACGCATAATTGAATTGTTCCCGATTTAGGCAGATTTGGCATTTCATACCCATGCAGGAGATATAGATACACCATATCGTTGAGTATTTTTGTTTTGATCAGGAAAACCTTCAATTCTCACATACTTGCTTGATCTGTATATAATTCGTTATTCTCGAGATGTGATTGATTGGATAACTTGTTTTTGAATGATCCCGGCCAGCTATACTTTTTTATCTCACACAACAATATTATTTATTACTTTTATTTGATTACCGAGTCAAACACAGTGGAAGATGGAGGGATATGAATAATCGCTATCATTTTTGTTGATATGCTCACATATTGAAAATACAATTCGAACATGGTTGAGAATTGAATGAACCTGATCTGTAAATTCTTGTAAAATGCAGGTAGTATATTCTCACAACACCGATTATTTGTTGCATTTCATACATATGGCAAGGCATCCACGTTTCGGGTATAGTATTGACTTCGTGCCAGTAGTATCTGATGACATGATGCATGTTAAAACAAATTGTAAAAAAGTAAAGTAACCTGAGGTCTTGCTTCGATATACCTACTCATATTATTATAATGAGGGTATAATAATATAATGTGTCAAGTATGTCACATTGGTGGTTACCTCACATATTTATTTTAGTTCATACTTTCGGTTGCAGAAAAAAAATGCATTTTTCATTTGGATCAAAAGTGACTTTGTTCAATCCTAATTAAACTTTTGTATGCCTATAGGCTGCGAAAGAAGGAAGTACTAACCTTCAGATATGGTAAATTCAGTTTGGGTTCTGTGTTGATTGACATCAAATTATTTCCTCTCAAGTAGAGTTCTTGCAGGGATCTCAGACTGACAAACCAGTGGTCATTGAAATATTGTACGGAATTGAATGATAGATCCAGAGTATCAAGTTCTTCTAAGCCTCCGAATGCCTCTAGGTGTATTTGCCCTACTTTGTTGTGGGATAGATTGAGGAGTTTCAGATTAGTGAGTTTCGTTTCCTGTAATGTAAATAATAATATAATATAATATAATTCTTGAAATCGTAGAATCTGGATGATATGAACTTCGATGAGTTATATACAAGACTTAGATTTCAAGCAATCGGAAACTTTGATGGGGCTAGAAACCCTTTCGAACCAGCGAGTTCCGGAGTTCTCAAGGCTCAGATCAAAGGGTACACAACCACTCAAAACCGTATAAGGATTATACAACATCTCATTTGAGGCGTCTAAAAGCAAAACTCTCCTTGTCCATCTAGAGCAAATTCGAGAAAAATGAGAAAAACTTGTACAAGATTTATTATTCTGGAAATTTTCACCATAAAATTCAATCATATGTAGTAAATTCCACGAAATGATTCACCATATTTCAATCAAATGTAAGTCTCAATGACTTTCAGAAAAAAAATATTCAAGTGTGGATAGCAAGTTTTGATACGACAAGAACAGGATAAGACCAGTTTTGCAAAAACAATATTTTATTCTCATTAATAATTTATTATGAAATTTGGAATGAAATAATTCAAATTCTCAAGCCCATTTTTTCTTCTTCAGCTTCAGGTCTGACTTCACAAAACTCATCTTGAGGAGTTTCCTCTTCAACATGTTCTCCTGCCACCAACAGTTCGTAGAATGCAAGATCTTTCCTCAGATACCATTCGTTTCCGAAATGTTTATTCAGTAAAGTTTTAACATTTGCCAGTTTTAATGGATTTACTGGAACTCCTGGTGATATTTCTTCAGGAGAAAACATATCTAGTTTCTTGCCTTTCTTCAATATACATCTAGGTGCTCCATAATCTGAGTTGTAGTTAGGTTCTCCTTGTACCATGGTACCATTCCTTTGATTTCTTGATATCCAAAACCTTTGTGCTGATGAGAACTTGAAGTGCCATGACTGAACAGGTTTGAAATATTCTGCCACACAGGATTTCCAGTCTTTTACTGCACAGTCTCTGCCTAACTTCACCACGGTTCCGTGTTCCTTGAAGATATCGATATATGTCTCAGGATCTGTGATTGTTGGGTTCCGTTTCAAAATTTTTTCAATCCTTCCGAACACTCTATCTGGAGGTAGAAATGAATGCCCAGGAATAGGAAATACGAGGTCAATGGTTTTGATATTGGGTGGGGCAGTACTAGCTAAAAAGAAGGAACACATGCCAATCATAGTCGAATTGCGATTTTGTCCTCCACACCCATCAGCACAGAGTCTGATGATAGAATATGATGATAGATCGGTTTGGGAAAGACGATGATATATACTGCTGAAGCCACTTCATTCGAACCTTTCTTATATTCGTGCTCCATCCATGTATAGATAAAGACATTTTCTGATGACATTTTGCTTTTAGATGAACCCTGAACAATAGTGAAATTATACGTGTACAGCTGTCGGCTAAAGTAAGCAATTTGGTCTGGAACCTTTGGGTTGACCAAGTTTTTTTGGCAGTCGAATGAAAAATTTATCATATTATCGCGCATTTCCTGCAGTTTTTTGAAAAATGCATTAGCTCTCAGCTTATCTACTCTTTTTTCAATAATCAAATTATTTCTCACATTGTTATCCTTCTCAGACTTTATTTTTTCCGAAAGCTCTATACATTTCGAGCAGGCATCTGTTATCGGACCACCGAAACCAATGTGGTAGTATTTTGTGAATATATCTCGGAAGAAAGACCTCTTTACTTTGAGTGTCGGTTCAATGGACTCATCATAGAATCTCCATAACTTGGATATACTTAGACCACTTGGCAAATATTGTCGTCCATGGGATTCCGAACGACAGTAATGGCTCTCTATCCCTGTCAAATTTTCGATGAATTTTCTCACAGCTCTTCGTTTTTCATCATATTTGATGCTTACTCGATCACCCCCACGGTTCTCGAACATATTATCTCTTCAACACATTCTTTAATTTCGTTGGGAGAATTTGAAGAACCATTGAACGAAGGTGTATCCTCCACAAACGAATACACCTCAGCCCCTTCTACATTTTATCGAAGAAAATGGTGAAAATCGCTTCATCAATAAAAATTTTATGATGGTGGTCCACTTCCAAATGGGTCACTCTGTATATTTCGATAGTATGTATATGTACATATAAACTGGCCATCGAACTTACGAGAGGTCTTTTAACCCTTGTTTGTACTGTGTTGGCTTTGTTACTTGCTCCATATGCCACCTTAAGGGCAGCGAAACAGCGAATCGTGCAGAATCATCTCCGGCCGAAGCTTTTGAAATTGGGATTTATAACTCGTTTAATGCATTTTTATCTATGAATTATAAATTCAAGTTTTCGTATCCTCGATCGAAGATGATTCCGCACAATTCGCTGTTATACTAACGACCTATGGAGGGAGAGCTGAAAACAATGGTGATTCAAAATTTTTGAACAAAAAAATCGCCAAAGTAATTTCTCAAATTTCAACCTCTGGAAATATACGCAGTGTATGCATTGGTTTTTGTTGAAACAAATGATTCGTCCAACGATACAGTTTTTCAAGCTCATCAATTCAGAGAAAAGTTCGTCGGGATCGAAGAATGCATAAAAGTTTATTGAGGAGTTATCTTTCAAGTGGGTCCCACGGTATATCAATGATTACTGAAAAAACTACTTCATTTTCAGGAGAATTTTTCTGTTATTTGCATGGTTGTGAAGTTACATAATTTTTGTTATTTTCCGATGTAAAAATCATTTATATTTCAAAAACTTCCTTCAATTAGCATATGCTGGTATTTTCCATAGCAGTTATAATTGTTCATGAAGGTCCTAAGTAATAATAGCGGGGGGCTCAAGATATAAACATAAACTTACGCCGTCAATGAGTCTGGCACCACACTAGTTCACTTTAGAATCTTCCCTGCACGAAGGACAACGTAATATAAATGAACTTCCAAAGTACATACGTACACATAGATTTTCATCTATGACGTACACGAATGAAAAAAAACATGAGCAATATATCATGATGAAAGAGAATCAAGAAATAACCATTTTGGAAATTATATAAAAAACTTACCAAAAATATATTTCTTCCTAATTCACTGACTTGATTATAAGACATGTCCAATAATTGAACTTGAGAAGGCATGTCAATTTCTATTGAATAAAGTTTCCTGCCATTGCATGTTGCACGTCTGAGACCATTCCAGGTATCACAAGCACAATAGTCAGGACAAATTATATCTTTTCGTTTTCCATCACAGTTGAATAGAAGTATCAGGAATATTATTGTATATTTGAGCATCATTTTTCCAAGTTATTCTGCAGCACAGCTGTGATGTGATCGTACATGTTGAATGTGTACAATAACAACAGGTCATGATAAGTTTGTATACAGTGACTAATATTTGATAAGAGAGATAAAATGATAAGGATTGTTTAGAAGGAGAACTATCAGTCATTTAGGAATGAACAGATTCCTCTTTATTCAATGCATTATACAGGGTGATGCAGATTCGAAGGAACAAACTGATATGGGTGAAAAGTTAATATAAACAATAGTCCGATCTCGATCAGAAACGGAGTTACGGGTGACCAAAGTTCAATCATTTTTTTCCATCAATTGATATATCTCGCTCAGTTTCGAAGGTATCAAGTAGAAATTCAGTGTAGTTGATAATTCTTAGAAGATCATAATTTTGAGCATCATATAGGTTTGTAAAATCTACAGGGTGATACGGTTTTCGAGGTAGAGGCTTCGTTATTTCCCTTAAACTTTTTAGTAGTACACCTTTGACATCTACTAGTTGAGAAATTGGATATATTGTTCAATTCAGAGATCTTTTTGCCCCACAATTCATTCAGAGAATCCAACCGTTTTCGAAATAAATAAGCATGTCCGTTTCGAAATACATGTTAATTTTTGCTATATTGTCTCGCTCAACTTTAACTATTGGACGAAATTCGTAGAAAATACAATATAATGTACTAAAATCAGAAACTGTTGTTCCGCAAGGATCAATTCTAGCACCAACACTATTTCTACTCCATATCAACGATTTGTTGGAAGCAACTTCATGGCCAGTAGTATTCTGTAAAAAAAATTGTTGCATACGAATCGTGTTTTTTCCGCTATTCATCAATACAAGCATGCCTTCTCATTGTGCTGTTGTATAATGCACAAAAAATGCAGCGAGAGACGAATGAATACTATTTCTCAGGTGAATAGTAATCTCACCTAGTTTTCATTATGAAATTTTGTCATTTCTTATTGAAATTCCTTCTGCCATTTTTGCAATAGAAGCTAATACTGCTAATAAATTGAAAATATCAACATCACGAACGATCCTATTATGTCATCAGCATGTCAGACCAATCCTCCCGTTTGATTGCATGAATCCAATCTTGCATTCTTTCAGGAATTTCACGAGTATTTCTATATTAGTTTCTATTGCAGGAAGAATGTCGATGAGACATCAGAGAAATTAACAAATTTCAAAATGAAAACAATATGTAAGTGACTAAAGTAGGTTAAATCATAATGTACCAACCGGGTTCCTTAGTCTCTCGCTGCATTTTTTGTGCATTTTTATATCATAATACATCATATTATTATCCTATTCGATTTGAGAGATAATGTCAATTCTCAATTTAAGAGGATTTCGATTGTTCATACCCTCTTTTTGAATATTCAACAGATATAATTCAATGTTCGATGTGGCAAATATCCAGGAAAGTAGTTGTTTTCTGTTTATGAAGGAGAATGCAAATTCTCTATTCCAGAAGATTTTGTTTTCAAATTCGTATCGTGTGTGTTCAGTAGATGTAATTCAATATTCGTCGTGGCATATACCCAGGAAAGTAGTTGTTTTCTGTTGAATAAGCAATGAAAGAATTAATATTTTCATCACATGGAGAATGCGAATTCTAAATGTATTTCTTTCTATATACCGGGTGTAACAGTATCATGGTACACCCCCTGTATCTCTGTTAATTTTAAAGGTAATGGATCGAAATTCGGGATATCTCATGAACATAATGAGGGGCACTTTTTGACCTACAAATGATATTTTTTTCACTTCAGGTTTCCGTGGCACCAACTTTCGATTTGTAAACGGAACACCCTGTATATTATTACATTTCAGAAATCTGCATAATTTTCTGATTCCAATGAAACTACAAACGTGACTATATTTTTGATAATTCAATTTTCAATTTTCAATTTCCTTTGTTGGTGTGTATGTACACACCAACTGGCCATCGACCTTACGAGAGGTCCTTCAGCCATGTGTGTTCTGTGTAGGCTTTGTTACTGACTCCATACGTCACCTCAGGAGCAGCACTGTTAATTGGAACGCAACAGTGAAATCGTGCGGAATCATTTCCGGCCGAGGCTACGAAAAATTGAAATTTCGTCAAAAATACTAAATTGCGTTTTTTATGAGTAAATAAATTTCATCGAAATCCATTTTTGGGGTAAAACTCAATTAGTGACTTCTCAGCATTGAATTAGAACAAAATAATTGTATTTTCTCATTTTCTCTCAACTGTAATTTTGATTATATTCATCGCAGATTTCATTACCAGGTATGAATAAATTCCTTAATAATATAGTACTGATAAAAATAGTACCACGGTACTTTGGTTCCATTTGAAAAAATTGGGTTTTACCCCAAGATCGATTAGGTATGCTGAACTTTATTTGTTCATAAAAAACGCAATTTAGTATTTTTGACGGAATTTCAATTTTTCTAGCATTAAACGGGGGTAACTTGGAATAAATCCGAACCATCATGACACACTGAAATGGAAAATTGAGAATTAAATTATCAAAAATGTTCAACGATTGGAATGTCACTCGTGTGGATCCAGAAAATTATGCAAATTTCAGAAATGTATACAGGGTGTTCCATTTGAAAATCGAAAGTTGGTATCACCGGCAGAACCGGAAGTGAAAAAAATATCATTTGTAGGTCATGAAGTGCCCCTCATTATGTATATGGGATATCCCGAATATCAATCAATTACCTATGAAACTGACGGAGATACATTGGGTGTACTATGATCCTGTTATATACCCGGTATATCCATTTTTTTGTGTTCATAAATATATCTGAGAATTTTCCTTTTCAATACTTTCACCCAATCAAGGGGTTCAAACTTGAACGATGGAAACTTGTTATTTTTATTGACCTCAATCGCAGATTCGTGATTAGATTTTCTCAATTCAGAATTTCTTTCCACGTCCTGTATGATGAATATCAATTTATCATACGTTCAAAAACAGACAAACTTTGACGAAAATGTAACTCAAATGTTGGATACTATTTGGTGATACGTTAATTTTTTGGGGAAGTGTATTTTTTTATAGTACAAGGCAATATGAATAAGATAATTTATCCGATAAATATTCGTGAATTATCGATTTATGGCAGTGGTTCAACCGAGGTCCTCAGAATGTGATGATTGTCTTTTCCACAGAGGAAAAAATAAGCGAAATGAATCTGTCTTTTTCAACCAGTTACTCTGGGATATTCACCAACTTGCTGTTCACTCGAAAACTGAGACGTGTCTCAACTAGCGATAGGACATCGAAAGATCGTCAGAGTACGGCCAGCTTGATATCTTGGTGCAATTAATTCGGACGGTTTTAGCACTAATTTACATCTGTGGACAGTGTTAGAGAGAGGTTTATCGGAAAATGGATTTGGCACTATGCATATGAAGCGGCAAACATATATTTGCAGCTCAGAGATTCTTGTATGTACTGAAGGAACATATAATACTGTGAAACGACATAATATCAGGTCTAAGTAAGCCAGTAAGCAATAGCATGATGCACAATTTGGCCAAATATGATGTATGTCACTAGCGAAAATAAACAGCGTTGCTACAATATTTAATAATTGTTCTATCACCTACGGTGATGGGTAAGGAGAGGCGAAAAAATGACTGAGAGTGACATCAGAGGTGATAGATAGGTAAATTGTATCTTTATAGAAGTGTTCATGTAATATTTTATTTTTATTTTTTTCTCAACTCACAGTTCAATGAGATCGTATTACCAATCATAACCATCAAATTATAGCAATAACAGATCACCATGACTGATTTCGTGCCTTGTGTATATTGTATCATTAGAGTGGTGCTATATAGGATGAAAGTGATATTCTTGATGAATCTGGCTGGTCTAAATTCAATTTTGTTCATTTTAATTTATCGTTGAGTTTCTTTCTGATATTACCCATAAAATTATACAATCTAAATGCGATCTAGGTACATTAGATTATCACATTTTATTTGAACGATGGTGAGCGGCACATTTTACCCCATATACCGTTAAAATAAAAGGTAGTTTCGGGGAAAATGTTTAGTACCATTATCTACTTGTTACCTACTAATTGAAGGAAGATAATGAATACAAATTGCTGAATGAAGTAGAGTATCTCCTTGAGAATCTGAAGATTCTTGACTGGAGTATTTGCAATGGTATTCTCGATAACTTGATTATAATATGTTCCCTCTGAATACGTTTTTATACATACAATGACATAAAATACATAGATTTAATGATGCCTCAAGTTATTGAATGCGAGGGAAGATTTTTAAATGAACCTACTGAATACCTACCTATATAATATATATGGAGAAACATCAAAGCTCCATCATATGACAGTGTTCCTAAATATTTTGATATTCTATCTAGAATTGATTTTCTTCATTTTCTCATTCATAGTCTATATCAATTTCTTCTGTTTCATACCCATATCTGGAAAACTATAATCATCAGTACAGAAAACATGTTCTTGTCCAATTTCTTCTTTGGCCTTTTTACCCATCGAGAAGTTGTTTTGTTTGACTTTAGTATATGCCTGATATAATGATGATAATAATAAATCGTCTTTATTCACCACAAAAATATCATAGATTGGGTACTATACATCAGAAAATATAAAGGTATATGTGTGATGAAATGCTGAAGTGTCAGCTTACGCTGTTTTTGAACTTTACCAGAGAAGAACCATAGAAAAGTGTAATAAAATATCGAACGAATTTTTTTTTCGACAAAAAGTCTGAGAGCCTAATGAATTGAATGAATTTCTAATAAACTAATAGTGAGAGTAATTGATATTCAGTTGAAAGTATTGGTGCGTGATTCCAAAAAGATTGAGCAAATACAAAAGATGTTTCTAAAGATTACCAGTCCAGTGATTCTTGAGCACATCTCTCAATTTCTTTTTGAAGTTGTATATACAGTAATGTCGAAAAATCGGTTCCAGGTTGTTGTACAGTTTGCAAGCACGATAA